GAATGAAACTATACCTTAACGGCGTAAATCGAACTGTGGCCCAATGGCTACGCAGCTGCGCCGTCCGCGCTTGCAGCGACAAAGAAACGGGCGGAGGCGATCCGTTCGCTTCTTGGCTCGGCGCTCTCAATTGCGCGGGTCGTTCTTCGTTCGCCAAGGCCGAGGACGCCCGGGAGGGCGGCGAGTGCCCGGCGCGTGACTGCATTGCCTCATTGCAGTGGCACCGCACCTCTGGCCGCACGTCTTTTGAAGTTGTCACGTGAGTGCAGGCACCGTGGGCGTGCCGCTCACGCTTGCCGTGCAGTTCCGCACTCATTAGCGTTCGGTGGCAAAGAGCGCTGCCGGGTGCGGCCTTCGAAGGGGAGCAGCCGGTTTGAGCCAGCTTGCGTTGTCTTTCAAACGCGCCCGCAAGCTATATCGTCTACACGCAAGCGCATACTGGCATTGTACCGTAAGGATGTGTGCGTGTGTCTGCATGTGTAATACACACGCGTGAAACGTCCGTACAAGTTCCGCACGAAAACTTTAAGAAGCATGCGTGGCCAACAGCGGAATCTTAGCCTAAGTCCCTCCCCGTAGGATCTAATTTTCACTTGCACGAGGAATTCACAAGCGTTTTCCAATAATTAAAAAAATTCTAGACATTGCCATTTCACAAGTTACATCGAAGAATTCTTATGTTTATTGCACACAACCTTTCTGTCAATAAAGCGCGCATCTACTTCAAAAAAATAAAAAAAGGTTCCCAATATGACATCGTTTTTCAGACACTTATTGTCTGAAAAATACAATTGCGGGATGCAATGCATTGGCGCTCTTTTGCCTTCATTCCTTTAGCGTAAACGCCCAGAAACGTTTGATGCGGTCACCAGATTCCTGAACACATAACTACTTGGGGTATGCATGAAGTAGACGCCGTAAAAAGTTCATTTCTTGAAATTTAGGATTCGTCTATTAAGCTGGCAATTTTGAAGTCTCTCCACCTTGTTTGTAATATACATTGCATAAAAACTGCAAAGTTTTCATAATAAAATTGTTGAGAAAACGCAACCTTTGCCTTACAAACTGTTAGCACTCTGACCACGTGTCTTTTGCAATGTAACTTTGGGGTCCTTGGTAAAACCAGGATATGGCCGCGAAATGGATCGCAGTGGGGTATTCTGGATTAATTTACGCCATCGAGGGTTCCTTGACAGCTACGGAAGCCAAAGTTAATTTCATTGCAACTTCCATTTTCTCCACACCTATAGCAAGGCTGCAGTGCCGGGGCCTGTAATGCAACCCACGTGCTTAAACTGTGCATAGGGACAGCTTTATCTTCTAAACAATCGCAGGTGTCTAAGCGTGTGTTCACCAAATGCTGAATTTTTCATCACCTGATACTCGTGAAACGAAAAGCTTTACTGCAATACTAATTATTGGTAGTGCCCTCACTTAATTGTGCATAATACATTTAGCCGACATTCCGTCCTGTGAATCGTCTTTCTGATGAATGGAGTTGACAGATTTGTAAAATTTTTACGCGTTCCGTTGGAGGAATGTGAAGTTTAATAGGTCTATTGGAGTACCTAGAAAACGGCCTGTGTATCAACAACATAAAACTCACAGAGCTTAAACGTAATTATATCCTGGCTATGGTACATAGAAGTAATAATATGTTATTATGGAATACTGCTAACACTACAACCTATCTGAATAGTAGCGCAGCAGCAGAAGGACGTAGGAAAACCAAACGCTCGTTTCGTTTAGTCAACTTTTGTCATGCACTGTTTCTGCCCTATCCAACCCACCAAACGGTGCTTTCTTTTCCTAAATAACATCCGCATCAAGACTTCTACTTGGAACGCAGTATTTATGTTATTTCACAACATTGTATGTTTGATAACAATGTGCAATGTATGTTGTTCACGAAATCAGTGCGCGGTCTCCACGATCAGCTAATACGCGACGGGACTGCGCGTTGTCGGAGCTAATCACACGCTGTCTTTGAATTTTCTTAGCATGTTTTCACTTACAAGTCACGTTCCTTGAATATGTGGCTCACACCTACTTTCCACTCCAGATATGTTCAATTTCGGGTATTCGTTCTTCACTTCACACCACTTCGTTACCTTAATGACCCCTTTGTAGGGGTATTGCATAGGCGCTGGCAGTACATTAGTACGTGATTTGCGTAAACATAACTGAAACATATAGGCGTTCTAAATTTGCATATTGCATAGCTGAACATGGAAGAAAAAAAATACAGGTGAGTACTTAGAGTGATCTGTTACCTACGTCAGCACAACTACCTATATACCTATAAACAATACAAATTCAAAATAAAACAGGGCTTTCATTTCACTATCACATCTCCAGTACACGCAGCCCACTTTGCATTGACTGTGGTGACATCGAGATGCTAGTCCCCCTCCAACTCAGGTGACCAGCTGCCGACATGGCCCAGCACGACATGCTCGCTGCTTACAGCCAGCTTCGTCTTCCGCGCGACACTTCGCGTCTATTGTCCTCCGTGTGCCACTGAGAGCACGTCATGCATGCTATCTCCGCCCTCCTCTATTCATTAACGGCAGCGGCCTGCGTGATCAAATGCAATTTTTTTTTCTGTCTGCATTTTTAAATGCGAAGCCTTTCTTAGTGAACGTCGGCGAGTTTGACCGTATCTATCTATCTATCTATCTATCTATCTATCTATCTATCTATCTATCTATCTATCTATCTATCTATCTATCTATCTATCTATCTATCTATCTATCTATCTATCTATCTATCTATCTATCTATCTATCTATCTATCTATCTATCTATCTATCTGTCTGTCTGTCTGTCTATCTATCTATCTATCTATCTATCTATCTATCTATCTATCTATCTATCTATCTATCTATCTATCTATCTATCTATCTATCTATCTATCTATCTATCTATCTATCTATCTATCTATCTATCTATCTATGCGCCTATGACGTTTAGCTCTCCTGGCCGTTTGGACAATAGGATCTTTACAAAGTTGGTATAGCTGAACATTGCTGTAATACAAGGAAAACTGACAAGTCATAACTATAACGCAGTGATATATATTTCATGAAAGTCATGATTTACCCGTCATGGTCTTGCTGCTCCTGCGGTGGTTCGTTCACATGACATATCGCGAAACCTGTGTGGTATGACATGACTGCACGGAGAACATAAGCGACAGGCTCTCAAGTGAATATCATGACTTGCGTGTCATGTAAGAACATGACCACATGCCATGCTCATGATGCGCTCGTGGTCGTTTCACAAGCTTCGCATATACCTAATTTTGTATTACGTGACGTGAATGGATGATGAAAGTATATGACTGGTGCAAACATGATAATTATGACATGCGTGTCATTTAAGAACATGACTACATGCCACGGCTATGATGCGCTTGCGGTTGTTTCACTAGCTTCACAGACACCAAACATGACTGTCACGTTTGCACCAGTCATCTATTTTCATCATACATTCACGTCCATTCATTCATCAGACATGATAATCATGTTGTTCTTTGTCGCCTTCACTAAGTTGGCTTCTGATCAATCTCCGCATCAAAGCCATTCCGCTCTAGAGCTTCATGTCGCCCTTTTCTACTGCGTCATAACCGACAGAATCACGAAATGATGATTGCAAGAACGTTTATCTAAAAACATGTCAACGTAACAATTTTTGCACGTGCAAAGTACCACTGCACAAACGTACTAATACCAGAACATTACTTAAAAGATTCTACAGCTAGCCTCGTGAAGCGTATACGCGTGTACATTAACCAATTTGGCCGCGCTTCTACGCTAGTTTTTTCGCATTCCTTCACATGCACCGCTGATGCCTCTGAAATTCAGGCTCAGCTCACATAAATTCGGATACTACTGTTGTACTTGCAGAATTTTCCTGACGACAAGAATGTTTCATATTGAGCGGAGTAGGCACATGGCTTGTGAAATGCCACTGAGTGCTGTACAGTCAACAACAACTGAGGACTTCTTCCTCCATTCACACGCCCGCCATGATTACAGAGTAGCTATGCAGTTTCTCTCCCGCACTGGAACCGCGTGAAGAAACGTTAAATAAGCTTGCTACATACCTACGTGCTTGCTTGTGAATTCCGTGTGCTTGCACGACGTCTAGCCTTTCGAATGGCGCCTGTTACTAACTTCGATTGCTGCTTGCACAGGTTACACCACACGATCCAACTGAAAATTCCTGCTAGCGAATCAAGTGATAAACTGGGAAGGGATTCAAGGATAATATTTCAAGAATGTGATTGGTGTTTGAAAAAAAAATAACACTGTCTTTCGCCTTTAGTTAGTGCCAAGCAAAAGAGAAAATTCACACAGCATGCTCAGGCAGGAAGCTTTCCAGTTTACGAGAAATCTATTCTTGTCCGGCACTCAATCCAGCAAACAACACTTTTCCACCCGTACGACTCTGCCATTTGGGCTTAACAAGATTTTATTGCTTAGTAGTTGGGCTTTCGCTTTATTAAGTGGCTACTCACCTCAGAAAAGCGTCGGCTCTTGGAAAAACATCGCATCAGCCTGAATGTTGTTTTTTATTGATTGGATACATGAAAAAACCCCATTAACTCTCCGTCACACTTTTATCTCGGCCTCAAGTATGTCTTGTAGGAACGTGAAGGCCTTACCTCTTCGATTCAAGGGCTGTGAGGTGGTCAACGTGCTTGTAGTTACGTCGTTAAGGTCAGGAAAGTGTGGGAAGATTTGGCCTATATGGGCGGAATACAGATCAAAGAAGCCTGAGAAATGTGGCCGGCCTACACCAAATGGCTGGAGATAAAATGCTACCCTTGGCGAAATTTTGTACTGCTTAACAGTACTACTAAGTCAGTCAGTGCAGCGTGAGTGTCGGCTTCAATTAGGGCCAGAGCAAGGCGTACAGATTTTGTTGTGAGGTTTGTGCTACACAAAAGAATAATTTTTCATCGTTTTTGTAAGCGCTCAGAAATATTTCTTGCAGTGTCGCGAAATGGTTCGCCTGTGCCGCCGCTGCTTGGTTCCGGCTGTTCTCGTGCTTGCGTGCCTGCTGTGCACGCTGCAGATGTTGGCCGCCTTGGTTGGTACCGCGGAGGACACGAAACGTGTGCAAGCACAAAAGGCCCACAGGCTTCGGCCCCGGCACGTGGGTGGAGAACCCGACGTGCGAGGCCGCACGTACCAGAGACACATGGCCGAGCCGCTGGACGCGCGTCACCGAGAACTCCACTCAGAAAGGCTGCGCCTCAACAGACTCTTCCGACCGCACCTCGTGGCACGCAGGCAGATCTTCAGTAAGTATACAGACTCGGTCGAGGCACTCTAAAGTAATCGCAGAAAGAATATGCTCTAACGCAGTAAGTGTCTATTCAACAACTGTGGCTCCCACATCATCATCGTAATCATTGTCATCATCATTATCAGCCTGAAGTCCACTGCAGGACAAAGGCCTCTCCCATTTCCGCCAGTCAACTCGGTCCTGTGCTTGCTGCTGCCAATATACACCCGCAAACTTCTTAATCTCATCTGCCCACCTAACCTTCTGTCTCTCCTATAATCTATGAAGTCAATGTATAGTGGTTGGCTATATTCTGAGCATTTCTCTATTACCTGATTGATAGTATGAATGCGGTCGACTGTTGAGTAGCCTGTTCGAAATCCTGCTTGTTTCTTTGATTGATTGAATTCTAATGTTGTCCTAATTCGGTTAGATATCACCTTTGTTAATAGCTTGTATACTAGGGAGATATCCTACATGAATTGCTGTAATCCCAGTTAGGCACCTTGTAATGAGGGCAGTTCGCGGACAACGTTGCTTCTGAGAGGTTGGACTGTGCTACAGTCTCAACATCTTTTTCTCTTCTGTCACTAAATCTTCTTCTCTTTAATTCTTTTACACCCCAAGCACAGCGCTGCAAAGCAGAGTTTTCTTCTGGTTAACCCCCCTTTCTTTCATTTTCCTCTCTCTTTTTTTGTATCGAGGAAACCATGGGGAACTAAATGGCAGCCTCTTCCTACGTTGCACTTTTTCACCTTTCAAATTTCTCGTCCAGCGATTGTGATTGACTTTCGCCTTCCATATTCACCCACTGGCGCACGCCGCATTTCGAGGAACAACGCTGCATGTTTTTCTCGTGGACCAACTTGGCGCCACAGTTCCGCTGGTTGGCGTTTTCTCATTTTGTACAATCACCGCACAGCCAATCATGTTGGTCGCACTGATCACACCGCAAAACATGCCACGTTCCTAGTTTAAACGATAGCAAAATCTTTGAACACGCACTTCGCTGGAGCCATTTTTTGCGTAGGTGCAACGGTCGAATCGTTGGCTGTGGCGATATCTGTTCGAAAAGTTTTTCCTTGAGTACAAACATGAAAACTTGAGTTGAAAAGTCGTCAATTTTTCAACGCAGCATGCGTTCAAACCCTTTGAATAGATGGCGAACCTTGCGTGAATGGGCTTTCTAAGCTGGTCTCTTGAACATTCGAAAGAATTATGCTATCGCCACAGTGAACTTCTACGCAAGAGTTAATCTCGAAGGGTTCTTTAAACTTGCATTTACGAATCCAAAGCAAGAAAATATCAAGCTGTTTGTCTCTATCGCCTTAATTTCTTTGCGTTCAACTAAGTCAAATGACAAGTAAAACATATCTGTAGACATGACATATAGGCCTATCACTTTGTCTTCCACGGAAGCAAGAATAATTGTCTTGCCAGTCATCAGCGTAAATTTTAAAAGTGATAAAGCAGACCCACTGACTCAAAATTAGTATCTTAATATAGTCCAGAAGTCCAGGTTGAAATGTTATATGTGATGATCCTCTTTCGTTCTCTGCCTTCGCACTTACGAGATATAGCGGTGTTTAGACTGTTTAGGGAGCGAAGCTTCTTAAGCTCGCAGCGTGTCCGTTGTCACCGTCATCGTAAGTCTCTGTCGTCCGTCAGAAAAGCTAGAGCACTGCTCCGGAGCCGTCTGTCAGCAAGCGTATTGATCAAAGTGATGACGTCGTGCAGATAACCGTTCCTAGACCGCATGCAGCGCGCATACACACCGCGCATTTGCAGTTGTTGCACTGCGGCTGCGCCAATCTGCAACCCCTCTCCAAGTAAGCGCTGAGTCATGCACAGAACTGTTAGGGCACGCAGCGCGCGAACTCATCGCGCGCAGGTGTTGCGCTGACGCCCTGCCGTTCATACGTATGGCGTGCATACAAGCAATGCACAGTGCGCTGCATTTCTCGCAAGCCACTTATCTATGGACCATGCAGCCCTAGTGCTTCCAATAATGGCGCTACACTCAAAAAAATAAAATGACCTTGGCTGGCTTTGCTCCATCATGAGCATTTACTTCGTAGACCTGCAGTAATTTTTTTGCAGAAGTTATCCAACTGAGAAGAGTTTAGCTATCTGGCTAGGCCACTGGCCATCGTAGAAATAAAAAGAACATTTATTAAAGGGAAAGAAAACAAAAGGAAGAAGGGTTAAAAGCAGGTCGGCGGGGCTCCCAGTCCAGCACTCCACTGGCCTCAGCAGTCTGCCGCACCTTGTCCAAGACGCCACTTGAGGCTGCGTTTCCTCGCTGCCGAGCAAGACTGCTCCGTCCTGAATTTGCGCGCTAGATTCTGGGGGCGTGTTAATTTTGAGTGTAGTTATTTCCAATTCCCATGTAGTATGAGTAAGTGTTGGCTGTCCTCCACACCACGGACAGGAACCGGCGAATGCGGTTGGGTGGGTGGCATGTTTTGAACGCAGGTGGGGATATACATTGCTATGCAAGTGGCGCCACTCGTGTGCTTCTTTTATACTTAGCCGAGAGATACATGGGGAGTATCGCGGTCGTTGTCGAGTCTCGACGCGGGCGTTCTAAGATATCTCCAGGAGTGTGTGCAGGCTGAAATATCAGACTGGTATCGGGAGGGCACGGGGTTTCAGCTACTTGGTACTGGTCGGGCTAGTTGTACTTGACTTTAGCGCTTACACAAGTTCTGGTATCTGGATGAGGGAAAGGCTATACTTAGTGTGCTGTCTTTAACTCTACTTGTTTGTCTGTCGTAGTGCAACTGGATGTGTGTTAATTTCACGGCGCTTACTTTCGGAATGATGACCTGCAGACTTACCTTCGGAGACACTTTTTTTTGTAGTACTTGCTGCTGGTTCTTTCGACACGCTTGCGCAAACTGACGCACTAATGGGGCAGCGAAAGAAGGCACGTTAAACAGATGTCGCTGCTGAGGATAAGAAGCGTCAAGAGCATTGTTCAACGCACTTTATGCGTCTACGGCGATGCTACCTAAGTGTACACTCGTCGATTTCACCAGCAAAGTGCAAACTGTAGTTCATAATCTCTGTTCCTTCTGTAACCAGCTGCTGCCGTTCGTATATTGCCAGACATATCTGTGTGAAAACTGCTGTTTCTGTTCCCTCAGGGTAATTTTTTTACCATGACCTCTGTTACCAGCTTTTGTTTACATAGAAAATGTCAGTCATTAGGCTTATTGAGGCTGATAAGATTACAAATGTAAGGTAATGGTTAAGCAGCTTAGCGGTTGTCTTTTGTCGCTATTTAGCGTGATCTGTGTTCAATATTGACCGCGTCGGCCACAGCCGTACGAGGCCGGGACGCAAAAGCGGTTGAGTTTCATGTTTTGGCTGGACATTGACGAAGCAGATGCAATTGCGTGCTTCACAATAATATTACTATGTAAGATCAGTCAGTCGTTGCATGATGCTGGCTTTCGTATTTGCTTTAAAATGGACGGACCGACTTACTTTGTATACAGTATGAGGACATATGATGTGTAGAATTTTGTTTTTCTAGATACTTTGTGTGAAATGGTCAACGTTTCTAATATGTGCCTATACTTACAATTACATCGATATGGTAATCTTGTCCGAAAACAAGCTCTGACAGCGTCCTTTTCCTGACGACGTTTCGGAAGGTGGAAATTATGTCTTAAATAACACACTTGCACGACCACACGTCAGCCAATTACAGCGTAGCAAGTACATCCTTCATTCTTCCTGTTGATCGAGCGATTGAATAATAGTGCATTTGGTAGCTATGCGTTTCTTTTTGTCCAAAAAAGCTAGTAGTGGTGAAGCTTTTTTCACATAATCTTGCAATAAATAACAAGGATTTTCGTTAATGAACCACGCTTAGATATCAGTGCCAATAAGTGATCAGGCCTAGCACGATTTGTTAGCTTAGCTGCTGTGTGCAGGCTGTCGCGCTATATAGGGCAGGTCAACGGTTTTTTAGAGGTTAGGGTAACCAAGGTCGCATCAGGCTTCACAAAAGTTGTAACCATCCTTTCAGCTTCGCATATGCAAGCATTTCTACTCAGGGTAAAAATTCGTTTATTTACTCATGTATTTCTACCCGGGGTAACTTGTTGTCTGCGTAGGCGTTGCCTGTCCCGCGAAAGAGCTCGTTCACGCTCGTTTTCATCTAAGTCATGATGAGAATCTGTGCTTTAGAACTCGCTTATTCTTCATCAATATAAGCGTCATCATCACGGTGTACAGTGAGTACCTTGCATTGCAATCACATCATCTTCACCGCAAGCCCGGATAACGCTCAATCCACAAGCCTAGACCCTTAGACAGGCACGTAAGCAAGGGGGGATTTAGGGGGGACCCACCTTAACCCTCTGAACTTCGTCAAGTCAGCCGAAAGCGACACAACTACTAGTAGCAGCACGTGTATTTTAGCAAATATAACCAAGAAGAGTTGCCAGTGAACCTTTCTTGTTAAAGAGGGTGACGGTCACCCAGAAGTTCAGTGCCTAGCTCGTGAATCAACACCGCAACAGAAACACCACTCACTCGTAAGTCTGAGGCGTTGCGAAACCATTGCCCGTAAAAAAAAAGCAGACGTCCGAGTGACTCAAGAACCTACGACCACATCCTCTCTACATATTGCCAAAGACCGTCCACCGAGAACGACAGCCCAAGGAACCCTATATACTGGAAGAGCTTAGATAAAAGAACTTTCGCATGGAAAGCGGCGGCTTCGGCATCCCACCAAAAACCCCTCTGACCCCACTCGCGCCTTTGCGAACTCCTCGATTCTTCGTCTGTTGCCTCTGTATTCGGGCAGGTGACCACGGGAGATAATTTCCTGCTTTACGACTAGCTTCTACAATAGGTAAAGAGAGAAGATGTTTGAGGTTCGAAATGGGTCCCCTCGATGACTCGAGTGCACGGTGGCAGTGCGAAAGAAGAGCTGTAGTCCGGTGAAGAGACGCTTTATTGCCGCCTCAGGCGTCTGCCCGAGTCCAAGCCCGAATCTCC